GATTTGTGTTTTATTATTTTCTAAATCTATTGATGCATTATTCAGTAATAATTTTACAACAGTTTGATTTCATCTTTGAAAGATTTGATTTACTAAAGTGCAAAGCAAATTCAGCTTTAATATTTTTTCTTTATGCGAAAAAATAACGAAGTACTTAAATTAAGTTGTAATTTTTATTTTTTCCCCTAAATATTTTTAAATTTTATTTATTCACTTAGATTTATTAATCGCAAATCGTTGCTGTTGAGAAACCTTTTTTTCTCGATGACTTGAGATTAATGGCATTAACCTCTTTGCAGTGTTTATCGCCATGAATATTCTGTTAATCCGGTGGTGCTGTCAAATGTCATAAAATTTTTGCTGGTGACAAGAACAATTTTTCAGAATAATAATGAATAATAATGAATTAATTTTTGTTAGTACTGCGAGTGGATAGTTGAATGAAATTTCCTCGATAGTTATGCGAACTTCAAGGGAAACTGGCCAAATGAAGGAATGATTAACTGGTAGATTGTGTGGACCCATCGATTTGTTTGCTTTACATAAGTTTGACTGGTGAAGAAAAGGTTAAATTTCATGGTTAAAATATTTCTAATTGTTATTTAATTGCAAACATGTTTAAAATCGTTGGTTGTCCGATACCAGTTTCATCAATTTCGTTCTTATCCTTTTTCACCTTTCTTAAGCGAAAGCAAAAAGGTTACTTCTGGAGTAATTTTTGCGAGAGATGTGTTATGTCGAGTCGACACCAAAAGTACCGCAATTTTAATTAGAACCAAATTGTTTTTCAGCGTGAAAATGTTTACTTTTAGGTATATTTTTATATATATGTGAAATATTATATTATTAATTCTATTTTAATAATTGATTATTATATTAAAAATATCCCCATTTTTGTGTTTGAAATTTTTCCGGAGTTTTTTCCAACAATTTTTATATTTGACATATGTTCAACTTGGAAAATATAAAATATTATTTGTTTTTCTTTTATATTGGAAAAATTTTTCTCTGTTCTTCAAATTGTTTATCATCGCTAATTAATTAATCATTGTTTGTAAGAACGTGGCAGGGCATAAAGCCATGTGCTGATTAAATTTAACAACGAGAACATTGATAAAGCACTGATAACAAAGCTGAAAATAAGAAAAAATATACGGAACAAATTGCAAAACAAACCGTAGGATTGTCAATATACAAATAACCTAACACTGAGTGGTGATTTTAAAGATCACGCTATTGAAATTTTTTTTGAGAGTAGAGATAGGCATGAAGCCTAACATCATTCGATAATTTGTTTCATTAATAGTTAATTATTTTGTAGTTCCAATAACACTTGACACTATGTTCATTCAACATTTTTATTCCTTTTCCGGGTTTTCATACTTTTGCGAAAGATTTACGGTGTTGGTCGATCAAAAGTACCACAATTTGGTTATTATTTTGTCGTCATTGTTATCTTCATCGTTTTGCTGGTTTTATGTTATTTATATTGCGTTGGGAGGTTACGTTAAAGTGGATTTTCAACTACGAACTGATTAGTGATTCTTATCATCACGAAAATCTTATTGACTTGCGGCTAGTTGCGTACAATTTTATTGAAAGTAAAGCCACTTTTTTTATCATTTTTCTAGATTCATTTAATGTTCTCAGATCTTGGATTGGAATATTCGAATATTCGAAGGCGTAGATGAACCGTAATCGATAAATTACATAGGTAATTTCTGATTAGAACTGAACGTTATGACGAGCGTTTTCAAGAAAAATTTTTTTATCTTTTTGCTTCCTTTTAGCACACTATTAGACTGGGTTTACAAAGTGAAATGTTCCGAGACATCTTGGCATTTCCAGGAAATGGCCATTTTTTCCTAACTTATAAGTCCATACATCGCCTAATTCATTACATGCTATCCTGGAAATATAATAATTATTGGATCTCGTTTTTGCCACTGTTGTTGCTAGTTTTTATCGAGATATTATTTCCTATGATGGGCGATGTGGTCATAGCGTAATTAGTTTGGTAACTCCAACGCAGTGGACTTACTATTAATGGACTTACTATTAATTTTTATAACGTTAAAATTTTATCTGCTGGACCTTTGCATTGATAAAACGGAAAAATGATACAGTTTATAAAACAAGAATATCAACAAAATAAAGAATATCACATTTGGTTCGTGGTGATTATTGAAATTTAATAACTGACATTATCGAATTTATCAAGTCATTTTCGATAATTTATAAATTTTTACTAAATAACGAAAGAGAAGTTTTTAATCGAAAATATTTTTACTTAAATATTAAATATATTTAATATTTAAGTAGAAATAATTGAAATAAATAGCCGTTGGAGTTTTTTTCCAGATTTCCAGATTTTTTACTCATTTTTTGCTTGTTTTTTTCTACAGTTCTAATTTAATTTTTAAGTTGAATTGCATTGGAACTACGTTTTTTGTGATATTTTTGCGACGTTCTCGAATCCGTTTTTTAAATTTTTCGCGCTTTTTATTTGGTATATTTTTTTGCAGAAATTTCTCTTTATATTTTTTTCAGGGAAGAAAAAGTGGAAGCAAGAGCAAAAGAAAAACTTCGCTTTATTTCGTTTTAACGCGTAACTAAGCTCGAGAATGGGTGGGGGTCGACGGCGAAAAATTGAACGTTCATCGAGTAGTTTTTTGCAAAGATATAACAAAAGGCCAAGAAATAGTTCTGAACGGCATCGACGCAATGAATCACGTAATGAACGTGCTAGGAGGCGATCAAGAAATAAAAAGAATTCTTTTAACAAATATGTAAGTCATTTTTTTTGCGTCTTAAAAAAGCCACCAGATTTTTTCTCTTTTTGATGATATTTTCGATATTGGTTTTAAAGATTTTGTAAAATTATTGTACATATTTATTGTACATATTTACATACTAATTACAAATTCGAATAACTTTAGGAAATTTCTTTGTTCTAGTAATTTATGTAAACACTAAATCTTTAATAAGCTACTTTAATAAGAGTGTTATTATCGCCTTCCTTTGGTGGAAATGAGATTTTTTGACAATAAACACCATTTTAAAGGAAATTAAATGATTGTTAATAATATCTAAAAATTCTTTTGATTTATGAGCTAAGAAAATGAGCCTCATTTTTAAAAATTACTTATTGCTTATTTCTTATTATTCAGTTGTTTTCATTTATGCATATTTGTTATTAAAATACTTGCCAGATAGTGTTTCAGTGGAAAACATGAAAATTGTACAGAATCAAATTATTTTACTAATCAGATTATCAGATTATATTAAAATGTTAAGTTTTTTTGTAGTTTGTCTTGATTGCTCTTTCTTCTGACCAGTTTTGACTATTTTCCAGCTGCTATTCACAGTGAAGTACTTTGATATCTTAGAATTTATTTGGTTATTCAAAAGTTAAGAATCAGGTGTAATCATTGTGGTGGTGATTTGTGTTGGTTCCAAAGAAATATTTTGGCAGCTAATAGATTGCCTCAATTTGAAAGATATTTCCTTCATTAATGGATTTTTTGGCAGTTTCCTGAATATTATTAGCTGATATCTTTAAAAATTCATTAAAATAGCATTCTAAATAGATATTTATAAGATAATCATTCATTCTAATTTTTATGAATAGTTTGTGGCAGCGATTATTTTTTTTTTTTTTACAACATTATAATTGATTTTGATTGTTAAACTAGCGACGATTACTAGATTATTTGTTTTCATAGCCATATTTTCGCCGGTCATAATGTTATTGCTTTTGGCTGGGTCGTTATTCTTTTCGGATTTTTTTGCCGTCTATGATGTGTAAATGATGCGAGACGTGATTCCCGTGGAAATTCTCAGGAATATTCTTTATGTTGTCTGCAGCTCTTTTGAACAATTAACTTAATACTTGTTAATATTAAAATGTCAGTGATTTTTATAATAATTTAATTTAATGAGAGATGTAAAAGGATCTGAATTAAGAACATGTGTAATATGAAAAAAGGTGAAGGAATTGGGAAGAGATGATAAGAAAGATGTGTTATATGCTTCAGGCAAAATTTTTGCTCTTTTTCTTTAGTGGGCGGTTTTAGAATTTCGAGTTTGTAAGCATAAAGTTAGAGCAAGCTTTATCATCATCAGTTTCATCACCATTTTCTTTATCTTTTTCTGTATATTAAGATACGAGTAGGAGCAAGCAGGGCAGAAGCAGCAACAGCAACAGCAGCAGTAGCAGCATTAGTTAGAAGTTGAAGAAGCGCGGCTGTCATGTCCGATCCCATTCTCGACAATTACCTCTTTGTGTGTGTATTGTGCAACGCTTCGTTTTATTCTTCATCATCTTCTTCTTCACCACTACCCTACCAACAGCAGTGCCCTTCATTTATTTCTCCTATTGTTATTGGCGTCCTCATATTTAATTTTTTGAAATTGAGGTGAAAAAGTGGTTGATAAGGAACGAAAAGAAAATATTGTGGAGCTATTCCTTTTAATTGAATTTATTATTTATTTATTCACTAGTTAAATAACATTATTATTGGTGCCAAAAAATATCTCACTTTTTTTATAATTAGTGAGATTTAATTGGTTATATAATAGCTGATCCAAAATTACATCGATTCGCTTATCAAACGGTCATTCTAAGTGGGCATTGCCCCAAGGTTTATTATCTTCAGGCACTGAAGATTTTTCAAAATTCTACAACAACAATAACGACGCTTCAGGAGGAGGTGGTGGAGGGAAAGTGGATTTGTTATCATCAAGTCGAACAACTCCATCATCGTCTATAAACGGTGATATAACAAGAACTGCATCGCAAAGTGTTCTTCATTTCCCTATTATTCGTCACTATTATTCGCATAAAATACCCCATCGCGCAACATTAGTTCCGCCACCGATTTATCAGCTTTCTTTGTTACAGTCATCTTCGTTTTTACCATCGAATTGTTTAAAATCATTAAAGATTTCAGAAAATAATAAGAAATTAACAGGGAAAGACGATTCAAAACAACATCCAAAAATGCCTCGTAAAGGCTTTGATTCAACACGACGTATGCCGATTGTAGTAATTCCACGAAAACGAAAATATAAAAATTACGTATCAAGGCGACGAAATACGCAACTTTTGGCGAATTTACGACGATGTCTTTCAGATCCGATGCTCTATAAAAGTTTCAATCATTGGCAAAAAATGGTTCGTCCTTTTACACCCAGCGAAAATCCTCCATCTAGCTTACATGAGGAGGCCAGTGATGGTCAATCTGTCAAACAAAAGGGGACTTATATTTCATCTAATCTTAGCTTAAAACCAGTATCAGATATTTCGAAAATTGGAATTACAGTTGTGGCTAAAGCTGCAGAAACGAAAAGTAATTTAGATATAGATCCAGTAACCAGTAATTATGATCAGTATGAAAATGGACAAAAAATTGGTATTAATAATATTGCTGTTGAGAATATTACATTTGATTCACTAAGTGATGATTTTGATACAGTTTTGGGCAGAAGTATTCAGGATGATGAAGTACGACAACCATCAGTTGGACCATCGAATTCAATTAGAACATTGTCGCCAAAGACTTCGGTAAGAAGTCCGAAAGTTTCTTCAATTTCTGCTAGAAGTGGCAAAAATCTTGTCGCAGATGGATCACTGATTAGGCGACGTGTATCGAATCGTGCAAAAAAAGATGAATTACTTAAGAAGGAATTTCGTGAATACGTGAATTTATCAGCGATAAATGATAATCTTGCCAGAAAAGAGGAGGAAAGATCAGCTGAACAGAAGGCGCAAAAGACGGTTACAGCTGTTACAGCAGCTTTTTCGACGTTGCAAAGCGAACAGCAGCCGATTCGCAACAAGCTTGAACATCAGGACACGAATAAAGCGTCAGTTGAAAGGAAAAAACAACCAACAGTTATTTCAGAGGTTCTTGATGAAACAAAGAAGACAAAAAAAGCAAATATTAGTGGTCAGATAACTGCAGCATTCATTCCACCGTCAGTGCCTGGACATAAAGTTAAACCACCTCTGTCGACTCAGCAGACTAATAGTCTCTTTGCAACTCTACAGTTACCTCCTTCTGTTAGTGCAAAAATTGATCGAATTATCGCTAATGCTGATCGAAAAGAGAAAGAACGCCGATCGAACCATGCTCCGGTAATATTTTGCTGTTTGGTATTTTTCTTCTGGAGAAGCAAAAATTTCTCATTTTTTTTTATAATAATAATAATAACTAGCTGGAAATAACTGAAAATGACTAATTAAGTGGCTTGAAGGAGTCAGTTAAATCAATAAATAAATTTTAGACGTTATTTTTATATTTTGCTTTTTTGTGGATATTTAGTTAATCTAAAATTTTCAATTACTTTTGTCTGCATCTCTTGATTTTTATTGATCCGTTGATCTGCTTTTCTGGTTTATTTTTTTATCATTTTTCTCCACTGTGGATTACAATAAGAGCTAACCGATTACTCAGTTTTCATTTTTTTGAGGAGATTTTAAAATAAACCTTGGATGTGAAGCATTTATTTTTAGGATTGGAAATAGGATTAGATCTATCGAAAGCTTTTCCTATTAATAGGAATATTAATTAATTTTATCTGAAAATATAGTTTCGACAAAATGAAGAAGGGCTCTATTGATATATCGATTTTTTACTAGTAATCACTCCATGCTTCAAAAAATTATCTTGTGCTGGAATTTTTTTAAATTCATAACCTTCATCCCTTCTATGAAAGGAAAAGAGCTAGTTATCTCTCCTTTTATTTTATTCATTAATCGAAAGTCTTAATTGCATTCTGATCGCATTTCTCGAGTTTATGAGGGATTTTATGGAGACAACCACCAGTTACTTACGACGGTGATAGCTCGAATAATCGAAAGTTAATGGCGACTGTTTTTTTATTTTATTTTATCTATCTGATCACTTTTATTTTCCGATCTATTGTTCTGCTTATATTTGTTTGAATACATACAATTTATTTTTGCTGATTTTTTCCAACCATAAAAATGGCTTGCTTTGCCGTAAGTGCAATTCAAAACTTTCATTTTCCAAGAATTTTTCCAAAATTGAAAATTTTTAGCTTTAGATACTTATAAAATTCCATTTAATATATTGAAATAAACCCTGAACTGATTAAATAATTTATTTTATAAAAATTCTAAAGTACGTTTCGCTAAAAGTGCATTTTCTAATAATATTTTTACTGAAAAAGCATTATTTTTATTTTCATAATACTTGTTATCGATTTAATTCGCTTCAATCTTTCTTAAAGATGAATGGATCTATCGTTTAGCTGGGTTTATTTAAATTTATATAAATACAATTTAAATTCTTTTAGCGGCGATTTTTATTTATGAAATTAATTTGATGATTTATTCACTTTCGAGTGGAGAATTGGTACTTTCAAGAATTTTTTTTCATAAAAATTGAAGTATTTTTGTGGGAAAAATTGTCGCAAATGATTGATGATAACTTTTTATGTAAAAAATAAAAGAGTAATATTCTTTTATCTTTTGAAATGCAACTTATAAATTCCTCTGATTTGAATTGGAAATCTTTTGTTTTATCTCCAATTCATTCAGTTGCGAATTTCAATATTTTAAAAAATAAATGAATAAATTGGTTATTTCATAGATTTTTTCAGAGTGATCGATCAGATCGGCATCAGCAAATATCATCGACTTCAAAATCGCAGGCGATCGTTACCGGTGTCACTCCGTCAAGTTCAATAACGCCAACTGTGACTCGGCCATTAGTTCAAGACGATCGTGATGGCCATTTAGTTTATGAAGATGGTGATGTTATATACGGACGATGTAAGTTTTTTTTTCCACTGGTTTCTGATTGCCTTGGTTAATTAAAGTTATTTAATTATCAATAGCTAGTTAATTAAAGTTATTTAATCATTTAATTATTCACTGATTCAAATTTCAGTCATTCATTCATTTAAGTTTAAAAATTTAATAAGACTCATCGACTCATCGCTAAAAGAACATTTAGCAAAATGAGAGCAAATTATTGGGGAGAGAGTACCATATAAATACTGATTTAAAATATCCATGCACAATTTGTAGATGAAATAGTGAGAACTTTGGGCGAAGGCACATTCGGTAAAGTAGTTCAAGTCAAAGATAATAATCAGAATGGTCGGAACTTCGCTCTTAAAGTTATCAAAAATGTTAGCAAGTATCGTGAAGCAGCTCGCTTAGAAATCAATGTTTTGAAAAAGCTGCAGGAGCGCGATCCTCATGGAAAGTAGTATGTTACTTTTCATCGAAATCTTTGTAAGCATTGCTTTTTTTGTCCATAGTGCTACTGGTGTTTTGTCATTTTTTCGTTTTAATTTTTTCCACATAATTTTTAATTTTTTTGTTTTTCAGTTTGGTTATTCAATTACTTGATCACTTCGATTATCATGGACATATGTGCCTTGTTTTCGATTTATTGGGATTAAGTGTTTTCGACTTCATGGTTAATTTTCAGCATTTATTATTTTTGGTTATTTGCAGACAGGACACATTAATAGTTAGGAAATATTGTCTTATATAATATATATGTGAGGTGATTGGTCAGGAAATATCATGAATAACTGATTGATTGAAGAGAGGAATTGGTGCACTTGGATTTGATGGATAGAAACTTCGAAATAACCAAACAATATTGATTCCTCATTATTATTTGACATAAGGTTGAAAATTGATTAAATTTTCATTTTATTGATTAATTAAATCATTCTATAGCCGTGCGTTTCAGAAGGCTAACAATTATCAAGCATATCCGATGGATCAAGTGCGGTACATTGCCTATCAGCTATGTTATGCAGTGAAATTTATGCATGATAACAGATTGACACATACAGATCTCAAGCCAGAAAATATTCTTTTCGTAAATAGTAATTATAGGTGCTTATTACTCAATGTTTAGATTTAAATTTTAATTTGTCGATAATTATGTTGTTTTTTCGCATTTATCACGTGCATTTAAGGGAATTCTTATTCCCTTTTTCCCTTTTTAAGGGAAGGGAATTCTAACCGATTCTTATTTTGTCCAATTTATGTTTCATGGAATATCTTTGTTGAATATCTTGAATATCTTTGGCCGTATTGAACACTGTCTCTTATCTTAATACTGATGGCTTTTTTCCACTGCATAATTTTAGAATATATGACTCCAAGAAAAAATTTAAAAAAAATTTTTCATAGGTCGTAAATTTAAGATCTTAAATTATTAATAAAAGAGGAAAAATAAATGGATGGATAGGATATAAGAACATATATTATATATAGTAATATAATGAATAGGAATGGGCTTTTACAGATTAATAGACGAAGGAAAAGGAAAGAAACCCTCACGAATAATTGAAGATGCGAGAGTACGACTTATTGATCTCGGTTCAGCCACGTTCGACCATGAACATCATTCAACAATAGTTTCAACCCGACATTATAGAGCTCCGGAAGTAATATTAGGTTATCTTTTTGTCTTAATTTATATTCATCCAATTGCGTTTGTTTTTTAGTTTATTTAGTAACTTTCTGTTTTGCTCTATTCTTCAAGCAATTATTCAAGCAATTATTGATAATGGTAGTATAATCATGTAAATCATTTATTCATTAAAATTCAAATCCACTTATTGATTAATGAAATCATGGAAGCAAAAAAATTCTTTTGAAGCCGGTCGGCTTCCACTGTTTTCTGAATCCCTTTTATTTCTTTTGTCGAACTGTCAAAAATATCATGAAGTTTCTATTCCATTAGCTTTTGTCCAGCTTTTTTCTTTTTGATTTCCTTTTATATCTTATTATTCCCTTACTTATTCCCTTTGTTAATTCGCATATTTTTTGCTGTAAGCCGCCTTTTTAATGAGTGATGAAAATTGTTTCAATTCCAATCTGTCTTTCATTTATCTTTGATAAATGATTGTGGTTAAAGTAGCTATTGGTTCGAATAAACACTTTAATGGCCTTTTTCTTTCGCCATTTGTCTACAGTATTGTTGGCGAAAGAATCATCCTAAATAACCAATAGTGATGAATATTGTAGGGAAAAGATCACTGGTAAGATGACTGATCTGTTTTGCCTTTTTTTATATTCTTTTTCGCTTTTTCATGGCTTACTTTAACCGATATATGGCTTTATGGTGCGCTTGGTTCTTAAAAATGAATTAATAAATAAGGTTGATACAACAAGTTGTTTTATTGTTTTATTATGATGAAGCATACTTAAACATCAAATCAAATTTTTTATTTTCTTTGAATTCAGAACTCGGTTGGGCTCAACCATGTGATGTATGGTCGATTGGATGTATACTGTTTGAACTGTATCGCGGTATTACATTGTTTCAAACGCATGATAATCGCGAACATTTGGCTATGATGGAACGAATACTTGGTACCTTGCCTTATCGTATGTGCAGGAAATCGAAGTAAGTTTTTTCCAAAAACTTAAAACATATTTCGGCGAGGTGAAAATGAGTGGATTCAATTAAATTTTTTTTCATTTCTATTGGAAATTATTTAAATCCACAAAATATTGGAGAAATAAAAATAGGCTTTTTGGCAAAAAAGGGATAAATCAGCAAATTAACGCAAAAAGAGGAAACATTTTTTTTTACATTTACATTTTTAAATGTATCCCCAATCGATTTAAATCGGTTATGCGTTTAAAATATTATAGGACGAAATATTTTTATCATGGCCGGTTGGATTGGAACGAAAAAACGCAAGCGGGTCAATATGTACGTGATAATTGCAAACCTTTAGCGGTGAGGCTTTCTCAGAAATTGTAATTTGGCAGTTGTCCATTCTTAATTTCTTGATTTATCCTTCGAATTTTTTTATCAGTTAATATGATTAGTAAATTTATTTGCATTTTTTTTCTTTCAGTTTGTTTTAGGAAATTTAGGAAATTACTTTACGTGGATTTATTATGTTTTCAGCGCTATATGAAATCAAACGATCCTGAAGATGTTGAATTATTCGACATTATAACTGAGATGTTAACATATGAACCTTCTCAGCGTTTAGCACTTGGAAGTGCATTAGATCATTCTTATTTCAAACGACTATCATCACATCTTAGGTAATATCTCATGTGCTTGTGCAGTTGATTATTTTGATTTGCATAATAGAAATAGATTTTCTCTTGTCGAAAAAAATTTCTCTGACCATTATTTTTGGTTTTTTTTGGTGAATAATTTTTTTTAGGTTACATGATAATCCGACTACAAACGGGTCAACTGCAAATACTACCAATGAAGATGTCGCTCAACGATGACAATGGTTGATTTATATTTGTTAAATTGTTTTTGCAGCTTTGGCAAATTGTTTTTTCTTATTTTTGAAGTATCGGCACTGGAATTATATTTTGGAATGTATATTATAAGCTATATATGGCAAAAGCTTATATTTGCTCTATAGGTTATTGGCCTATAATACAATTTACATCAGATAAATACTATGAAACAGTGAAAAACAGTCAAAAGTGAAGTTGATTTTATTCATTTCAGTTTTCAAATAACCAGCTAATTGTACGGTTAATTATATAAAATTATTTAATGAATTGTTAAACGACGAAACAACATGCAAAAATATTTCTGTTAATTCAGCTGAATTCATTTTTTTAAATCCGCTTAATAAATTCACTTGCAAATTTTTTTCTTAGGAGTATTTACTCATATTTACCGTTAAGCGTGCCTCTAGCCTTTTGTAGGTTCCAAAGCTATTTTTATTTGGTACGTTATTTATTTTTTGTTTTTAATTTTTTGATCCGTCGTGCATTTGGTGATAAGTCATTTAATCGTCACTAGTTGTCAAAATAGCTGTTCTTTTCGACTAAGGGAGATAAGGGCATCTTCATTTTATGACGGCGGATTGCAGACTTTTTTAAATTAACTAACGGGTCTTTTGTATGTCTGATACTCCAGTTTCCACGTTCAGATGAATGAATTTATTGAATTATTTTTTTCCGCATTGATTCCCTAAATCTGCTGATTTATTAATCGAAGCTTTAGCGAATATTTCATAGAAAAATTTGACACCCATTTTTCTGTAGGCAACAGAATATCAGTCTAGCTTTGCTCAATTTTTTCGATTTGCACGTATTGTATTATAATGCTTTATTGCAGAAGGATAATACTTGGAAGAAGAAATTCATACAATTTTATTTGTTTCTCGTTAGTCACCGCTCTCTGCATGTATATAATTTGATCAAAATGTTCTGGCACTGAACTAACGGCATTTATGCTTGGATGGAAGAACGATGAAAAAAGTACAATGTAGATTTTATTCTACTAAATTTTTGAATTTTTGAATATGAAACATTGGTTTAGTGCAGACTTCCTGGTCATATCTCTTCATCATTGCATTTCCATGTATTTTTATAGGCACTATTTTTTTACTGGTTTCTTCCATGATGGCACTTTTTTTTGATGTTTATCGTATCTGGATAGGTTGGCTTATTGGCCTTCTCTCTTTATCATTTTAGAAGAAACTACTGCTGTGGTTATTTATTTTATATTAATATTTATTTACTAATAACTGGATTTTACCATTGTTGAATACCATCATTCAATTTTCTATAGGTTAAAAATTGGTGGCAAGAATTTTTTAGCTCATTAATCCGGTGCTTAATTCCACTTGAAATGTCTCAGCTATAATTTTTTTATACAGATAAGATTAATAAATTTTTTATAAAAAAAATTTTATGAATTTTTTTAACTAAATGTTATATGTACCACTGGTGTCGAAATTTAAAGTTCCAAATGTCAGTGTGAAGCGCATTTTTACTGAATTTTCAAATGTTACAGCAACAAGTCGAAGTTATATTTTTTGAATTCAAATATGGCAAAAGATTGCTTGTAATTACTGCACTATTTTTGCAAACCTCCTATGAATATTAATAAATTAATCTTAAAAAAACCATAAGGTACAAAAAAATGATTACGTTTAAGAAATGGTTAATTTTTTTGTAATTTTTGACTGAATTCTTAAAATCACTGATATTTAATGTGAAAATCATTGGGAATTGAAGCATAAAATTATGGAACAAAATTTAAATTTTTTTAAAAATATTTAAAATATTTTATTATTTTAAAATATTTCGTAAAATATATTAGAATTTTAAAGCATTTTAAAATAGATTTGAAATATTTAATAAAATTCGAAATATTTTTTGAAAATTTTGAAATAAAAAGTGCAAAAATCCAATGGGAAATGAATTTAAAGAGTGAAAAATTAATTGAGCTTGTTTTTTCGCTGAATACACCTGATGAAGGAAATAATAGAAAAAAGTGATTAAAATTAGTCTTATAAAAAAAGAACTGGTATGAATTGATAAAAGGTTTATCCAAATCACTGTTCCATTGCAGTCTTAACTGGAGCTCTTCTTAGCATTGCAATTAAAAACATCATTAAACCGGAGGTAAGCAATGAAATACCACAAAAAACAAAAGAAATATCGTATGAACCAGTCATATCTGCCAATCGGCCTAAAATCAATTTTTTGTATAAACACCACCGAACGGCTGCTTGTTTGGGTAGGGGTTAGATAACATTTCCAACTGTTTTTAGTAAAGAACAACGGGTATTCATATTTACAATTTGTAGAATATGGGAGAAAAGAATAAAAGGTTAACCAGCAGTAGGTGGTCCGACAACTGTTCCTAAACCTTGGAACAAGAGAATTAATCCAAATGCATTAGTGAGCCTTTCAATTCCAATTAAATCGACCAAGACAACGGATGTCAAACAGACGTAGGACGATAATGTTAACCCGAAAAGACCCGAATAAATCTAAAAAGATAAGCAGTATTAAAAGTAACTGTTTTGTATGAGGAGTAAAAAGAAAAAAACTCGGGAACAAAAATCGAACATAGTGAATAAATTCAGATGAAAAGATATGAATGAATTTGACTTAAGATTGCGCTTAAATAATTTTATTTAATGAAGAAAAATCACTTGAAACAAGTCGAAAGGTGCACTGCATGAGGAAGAATGGAAGGTTCGGTCTGTGGCTCTTGACGGAAGCAAATCTGTCTTTGAAAGTTAAGTCCAGGTGAAATTGCAAGCTATGTGTTTTCTGCGAAGTTTCATCCTAATAAAATCTACCAAAATCTACCAAATCTATAAAAAAATAAGTAAAAAATCTCAAACAGTGAGAGAATGGAATCCTTGGCATACGAAGACCAAAATCGTTAAAATGCCACAAATGCTGAGGGACACACTATAGATCCATAAACGATTTCTTCCAGTATCTTTACCGAAACGGACTGGCAATTGCCTGTCGGATATGAGACCAATAAGAATACGACCAACAGTGTTCAAGAATCCTTTAAATTATTAAATTAAATTATTAAATTAAATCATTTGAAATATTTCAAGAATTCTTCATGCTTCCTTACCGTCCATATCAAAATGCTCCAGAAACTAGACGCTATATGTCATCTTTTTATTTTGAATCATATATCAGTCATATCTTGGAAATTTACTGAAAAAAATGAAAGCACTCAAAATTATCTGTAGAATAATTAAGTATAATTCCAGAAAATAGGCAGTTCCACTAAAATGGTATAACTCACCAAATGCACTAACTATTTGTGCTGCTTGTTGATCGGTACATCCAAGATTAACTGCATGTGAAGGCAGAAATACAAGTGGAGAATTGAATGCAATACTGGTTAGTAAATTTGACAAAGCGTATAGAAGAAATATTGGCTCAAGTAACAAACTCATATCGGTCATTTTTACAAATGTTCTGCAATAAGACTCAATCAAATTAGATATTCGAGAATAATTGAAAACTGTTTTGTTGGATTTTAGGCCTAAAATGATTGAATTGTATGTTTCTTCCACCAGCAAGAGCCTAGATTCGATCTCGATTACAGCTTAAATACTTGCCGATAAAAGTGAAAGGTGCATCTCTGTTCTCAAGTGACTCTCTGACCAATAAGTCTTAGTAATCAGTGAAGTTGGAAGAAAAAGAAATTGATATGTGATTAAGACATTAGTCTGATAAAACGAAATAACAACCGCTGTGAATACCAAATTCAATTTTCAATCCTAAGGATGTAACAGGCAGCAAATAAAATGTCGATGTTAGTTGCTAAATGGAACTTAAATAAAAATATATCATTTAGATTCTTTGATTTGGCAAAAAGAAAGAACCTCCACATTCCTCTAGTTTTATTAGCTTCGTCTTCAGCACTTTCTATCTCCAAGAAAGTATCGAAATTTTTCCCTTTTGCATCAGTTGTGATATGCAATGATGTTATTGACCGATACCGATCAAATTTCTCGCCAAAATCAGGAATCGCACTAACAGAAACCGTAAGAAACACGTCCTAAATGAGATATAACTGTTAATTTTGCACCTTTTAACGATAAAATATTACAATATTACAATCTTATTATTTCTTCTAAATTTAAAATCAAAAATTTATCATTTTTTTGTAGGCTGTTGAATTCTATCAGTTTTATAAAAAATGAATGAATTTTTAATTCCAATTATTAAGGGACCAGAGATTATGGATTATAATAAGTATGATTACTCTCATAATTAATTTTTATAACATACTATAATCGACTCTTGTGGTAGTCCAGTAAGACTTAGGCCAGTGGACCCAGATTATATGGATCATTATATTGGAAGGATCCATGGAAAACTGTTAAAACTCTTACAAGTTAAGATTAAATATAAACTTATTTTCCAGTGCTTTCGAATTAGTTTCCAAGCTTCCATGAAAGCGTTACAATTTTTAAGATCATTTCGATTAAGAATAGTACAACTCAGAACCATCTTCAGCAGCGAAAGATGAGAAATTATAATTGAAATAATAATAGCAACAGTCTTATAAGACATCATGTAAAAATTCACTTTATATATCAAGCCTTTCAAATTTTACTTAGATCGTCGTTATTTTAATTCATAAATTTGCAGTTGGCCATGCCGGGCATGTTTTTTCAATTTTTGTGATATCAGCATATGGCGTTGTGCTCTGCTTGATTTCGTTGCGTAAATATATGCATCAGAAATTGAACTGTTCTTAATTAATTAACTAAGGATAATATTGAGCGGACGGACTATATTTAAAAATAACCTTAACATTTATATATCCCGTTGCTTCAGAAAATGTTTGACGTTTAACATTATCTAATGACAAAATTCGTCGCACAGATCTCTCCAAACCACGGTTGTCAATTTCTGATTGACTTTCTGATTTAATATTGCTTAACAGCATTCTTCTCTCGGTCTCCTGCAATATTCGATCTACTACCTACCAATCCTTTGAAATAAACCCAAGCAATTGTCTTATTTTAACCAAATTTTTAGTTAAATGATATACTGATATAAAAATTGGATGATATAGAAAATACCAATTATTTTTTAATTCAAATCCTACATATCCATAAATTTGTGAACAATTGCAAAACCAAAAGCAAATCTGATTCTCATTCAAAAATTATAAAAAAAAAGGAAAAATTTGAACAAACCCAAAAGTAATCAAATTAGGGATGCAAGCTCAATATAACAGTGATTTATACTGGGGAATGCTGTCGACCCGCCTTCATTTCTACCCATAAATGGTACTCAAACAAAATTGCCTCATCCTACCAATAACCATGGAGTCCCCAAACCAGAAATAATCGGTGCTAAATCTTATTTCCTTCATAATTGTATTTATAATATAATTATAATTGTGAGATTTATGAAAATAAATATCTAAATAAATTAGAAATAAAACAAAATTTTTACATTTTTAACTGCATTTTTAATAAACATAGAATCGTTCTTTGTTTTATCCTCATGGTTCTTTGATTCTGGTCCTTTGGCCAAATTTTCGCTAAAATCGTTCGCCGCATCGGTTTCATCATTGACCTCGACAAATTTTAAAGGACGAAAAGAGGCGCCACAAAGGATACAAAGCAAAATAACAGCTAAATTTTTGAAAATGATTTATATGAAAAAAGCGAACATTTTGCCTTGTTAGAAGTCGTAGGAACCAAAATCATTTAATTTATTGAAAGTTCTTAAAATTCTCGAAATCATTTGCTTAATTTAAATTCCAAATTCAAGTTTTTTTCAGCCTTTAATTTTAGTTTTAAGCTTTGTCAGAAAATACAGTCGAAAAATACTGTGATTTTTTAAAATATGGATTTTTTCGTACTTTAAATATTTGGTCAAATGATACAGCTTACCAGTGTAATAGATGAAAACAACTCTCCATGAAAATGCAGTAATTAAGGCATTGCTAATAGGTGCAAACAGAACTGCACCGATGCCAGCTCCACAGACCGTTATTCCAGTCGCCAAAGCCCTAAATTTAAAGATTATTGTAAATAATTGGCAATAGATTCTGAAAGGAAGTTAAAGGCAGAGGAGAAAAAAGCAGAACCTTTTTTTCTCGAAATACATAGTAACGACAATAATCGTTGGACAATAAATAAGACCAAAACCTATTCCCATAATGCATCCAACCGATACCATTAAATATTCGACTGATGTCGCGTAATAAGAAGCTGCACAACTAAAAAACGAACAATGAAATAAGATTTTATGTGGTTTTTTCAGAAAAATTAATCAGGATACCCAATGGATGCAATAATTGCTCCTAAAATTGTTGTGAAACGACAACCAAATTTATTGGTTACTGCAGATGCAACAGGCCCAAAGCCAAGTGTTAAACCCGTTAATAACGAGATAACTATCGACGCTTTTGCATTTGTAGCGTCGAATTCCTGGAAATTTCAAAAAAAAATAAAGATATTACAAGTCTACGATAAAGAAAGGTAAGAACGATTGCGACAACTTACTCTCATAATTACTTCCAGGAGGATACCAAAAGAATATACGATACCATCTGCGAAAACATGAATGAAAAATGAGCCGACAACGACAATCCATCCCCATCCGCTATCTACTATTGGAACATAACGTCTGTCTTTCGTAACTGACATCTTGTTTCTCCAAATCAAATGTTTCCCCAAATATTTTTACTAATACTTCGGATTCAGTTTAAAATTGGGTTTCTGTTCAGAATTCAGCTGCTTTCACTATAAATATTATTTATAAAAATTGGAAAAATAAAGTACTAAATAAAAAAAAATGTCAATATAAATGCGAAAAAAATTTTAAAATATAATTTTGAAATATAGAAATATAAAAAAAGAGAAATTCAGTGAAATATTAGGTGATTTTAATAGGGACATCGAATTTTCATCAAGAATAAGCATCGCTTTATTCCTTCGCCTTGAATGGAGTAATTCATAATTAAAGTAGAGTGGTGCTGAAGATCCACTCGTTTCTCTACACAAAAATGAATTTTTGACGTGACTTTCTCAATCTAATAGTCAATGGAGCCAGTTAAAGCAAAGCAGAATGCAAAATTCAAAATTTTGGAAGAGGAAAGACTATGAATATGATGGATTGAGCATGCGATTTGTTAAAAAAGTTTAAAAAATAAAAGAAACTGTCTCCTTTTAAATTATCTTCTAAAAGTGGAAAAATGAAAATTGAAGGTCAACATGTTATTTTTCGATGTTGAAGTGTTCATCTACTCATTCATTTAATCGACAACAAATATGAAAAATTTATTGATGAATTTCACGGTAACAATCTGAAATTTATTGAAGAAAAAAAAAAGAAAGAAAAAGGAGGAAGAATGAACGGTGATTTGATTATCTTGCTGACAGTCAGGTTCTTGAGCTAGAAAGGAATAAAATTGCCAACAAAAGTTTCATGAAGTGGAGCTGGTAGCTCCTCTACTTTTCTGTCACCAAGTGATGTGAAAATTGCTAACCATAATTTGGAGTCTACCAAAAATAATCTGCATTAAAATAAATGAATTAATAAATTATGTACAAAAAGCAAAAAGCATATAAATACTTAATGGATATTGAGTTTTTTCTGGTATTGAGCGTGATGGGTATTTCTGCCGTTACCATTTCAATAATCACTTTATGTTCGATATAGATAAAAATAAAATTTGGATAAAAAATTTCGATAAATATAGATATAAATAAAATAAAATTCATTAGTCAATAATTCGGAAAAGCCTTTTAAAATAAAACAGGGAAATCTTTAAAAAAAATATTTTTAATATTTGCATTTTTACAAAGATTTATAAATATTATTGATAATTTATAAATACATTTAAGGAATTATATTATACTGCAATATATTCGACAATATTGCAATATTAAATGATGATGAATTTATGGAATTATTTCTGGAATTTCTTTATTTAAAAATAAACGAATTTCCTTAATCTAAATCTGCAGCTCAACATTAATCGTGGATGTTGATATACTTTGTTCTTATCATTTCACAATTGCTTTGTGTTTTATAAGTAAATTCGTCGCGTAATTTTTAATTTGATGGAAAAGAAAATGTTTTTTATCACTCCATCCATTCCCGAAAAAAACTAAATACTTTGACTAAAGCTTTTGATCCTATTTCCTATAGCAGATTATTGATCACACCTAATAGTTATGGCACTACAGGGGCCCTTTACAACTGGATGTCAGATTAAAAGATTGTCACCAAGTTGTATGTGTCAATAATATTCTCTCTGATACAACACCTGTTAAATGTTGCGTTTCCCAAGGTAGATAGTATTGCGCCATTACTTTACCTATTATATATATATAATATATTATTATATATTATATAAATGACATTTATATATTATATAAATCACCAAAGTGGTACTAAATTCTACCATTTATCTTTATGCTGATGATTGTAAAATTTATTATTTTCATGGTATAGCAGATGCCCTATCTCCACTGCAAGAGGACCTCAACAAAATAGCCAACTGGACTATATGACAGGCAAATTACCCTTTCTTTTCAAAAGTATAGCATTCGTCATATTAATTCTAAAGGTTTCGATTTTCCTAATCTTTTTATTAATGGTAATATAATCAATAGAGTCTCAAACATTTCGGATCTTGGAATAATGATGGATGAAGATCTCGATCGATCTTCACTGCAGAACCATGGTAAAGAAATCCTCAAAGATATTAAATTTTATTTTATTTTTCGTTCGTTTAAGAACAATACTGAAGGTTTCCTTATCAAAATGCACGAAGCGTTCATTCGGCCACTCTTGACTACAATACTACATGTTATTCCACGATATCGTAAATCAAGTAAAATAATTGAAGGACTCCAAAAATATTTTATATGGCGCCTCTCTTCTAATTGCAGTTTAATTATAAAAAAAAAAACTTCCACAATATAACCTGGATTCTCTTCCAGTTCGTCGTATTAAACAAGATTTAATTAATTTATACTTATAAGATTCTGCATGGTTATCTTAAAATAGATTGTTCAAAATATTATAATTTTAGACCAAATTTGAATCCAATAAGAACTAATGAACTAATTACTAAAATCTATGTGTAAAACTAAATTAAGGACTCACGACTTTTTTATTCGTACTGTTAATTACTGGAATAAATTACCGAACGAAATAGCTCGTGCGTCATCCTTAGCAATCTTTAAAAAAGATTAGATATTATTTTAAGAATTCATATCATGCAAGAAGTGTGAAATCTCGACTTTTACAATCCGATTTTATATAAGTTACTTCGAATTATACCATATTATATTATTCTGCAATTTCCTCTTTATTTCCTCTTTAAAATGTTAAATTTTTGTCATATTTTCTATTTTTCTTATTACTAAATTTTATTGTTTTTTTTTCCTTTTTTTTAAACTGTTGTTATTAATGCAACCACATGGCGTTGTCGCTCTGCTTGGCTGGTCTTCAATAAATAAATAAATATACTCTTGATATAAGGCATAATCGCTGTTCTTCGCCCATTCATCTCTTTTTTTCCTTCTCCTTCATAAAAATCCATCTGGAAAACTACAAGAAACTTGTCAGAAACAACGGAAGGAAAGAAATAAAATAGAATAATATTAATACGGTGAAATTCATAAAGCTTTTTAAAGTTCAAAAAAGGAAAAACAAGATTTTAACAAAGCTTTCCACATCATAAGCAGTCAACAATATGCAAATCACAAAACTGTTTTTTTTTTCTTTCTTTCTTCACGCATCTGTTAGCTACTTTGTAAAGCCATCTTATTTACATATCAAAAAAAGAAAACCATGAGAAAATCTTCTTTTAAATAAAAATAAATTTTTATGCAATTTTTGATCTACCAGTGTTTTGGAGGAACCACCCAGATTTGCAAAGGAGAATCTGTCAGTATTGGGTCAATATCAAGAATCGCCTTCGCCTTGTTTCATTACTCTTTTTTTTTATTTTATTCGCTTTGACACTTTTACTTCGAGCCTATTAAATACCTATTTTTCATTTATTATAGTAAACCGTATTTTTTTAAATAAATACTTCAATTCACGGTTGCGAGAGTACATTTTTTTTCCGACAAAACTGGCCGTTATCGCAAGCTAACAAATTAGTTTTTATTCAAATGAAAAAAATATTCGAAAAAGGGTATTTGAGCCAAATTTAGTTATTACTTATTATTATTATTTATTCAAAAACAGTTTAATTTTTTCACTCCTATAGAAAAGGATAAAGAATGACGAAAAAATAAAACATCCTGCCAGCAACTATCATAAATAGTCGAAATGCCTGAATTTACCAACATTTTTGGTCCGGAATGCGTATATTCAAAATGCATATATTCCATAAATCATTAATTGCTCAACACTATCCGATCCGCTTTCCTTCAATGTTCTGGTTTGGTTAGCAACTGGCTATTGCGATAAAATCCTTCACCAGAGAGCCATTTGGGTATAAATAACAGATACAGATGAGTTTGTAGCGCCACTCAGATTTCTAATAACAGACCTCCAACAAAGGGTATGCTGCGTCACTTTTTCTATTAATAAAGGACTAACAATTTATGCGCAGAATCTAGAAAATGGAAGGAGAAATGGAAGTAGCATTTCGATAGATCGACTGATCGACTTCTAATCCATTTTTTTCGTTTGATTTAAATAAAAATTGATTTTTTTGATAAAAATAATTACATTTTATAGTTCTAATTATTCAAAGAACACCGTTTCTAATTTGGCTTAGATTTCAGGCTCTTAGGTTGGCTATTAGGATGATACAATAGATAAAGAGCCACTCTGAATAGAGTCGATAAGTCGATACAAGAATTATATTTTAACGACAGGTCTATTTCGCTCAAAGGATAAAAGTAAAGCAGCTTCCATGCATACTGCAACATGCATACAAGGCTAAAATTCATGAATTCTCAGTTTTTATGCTATACAATTTTACTTGAAGGAAACTTGGAAGAATGGGAACAAAATTAGCACTATTTCAATAAAACGCGAATTAAAAAATAAGAAATGAAAAAAAATATGTTAAATAATAGATAAAGTAATTTTTAGGCATTAAAAATCATTTTATTAAAAATTATTGCCAATATTTTAGAATAAAAATAAAAAATCATCGACAAGGAGCTTTAATTTTATTTTAAAAATTAGCCTGGAATAAACAAAGAAAAAAATCCTTTTTTTACCGCAAGCATTCCAGCAGAATAGCTAAATGGAGCGCAATTCAGATTATGTTGAAATGCAGGGGTTTGGATCACCCTCCCAAAAGAAGCAAACTTGTCAATAAAAGATCCGAGTGGTATTGGCAAGCTAATTATATTTCTAAGTGAATCCACCGCGAAAATTTCTAACAGTAATAAAAAAGTAAGCCTAGTCGGGAATAGTGATCATTAACTATTCATTACTTTTCACTTATTGCTGTAAACCTTCCTCACATCCTTGTAGATTTATAGATATACTTTTTAGCAAATAACAATAAAAAATTTTATCAGTTAGAACGAAGACTTATGATCAAGAATTTCGATGAAATTACAAAGCTCGACCGGTTACTTGCAATAATAATTTATAAGAATCATAATCGATCTAACAGGAAAGTAATGAATAGCGATTATATTTATCCAGCAAAAGAATTA